TGCCAAGTCACATTGGAGAGGGATATCTGAACCCCATCACCCTCAGCTGCAACCCACAGCCCCTCAACCTGGCTTCACTTTCTACTTTGCATTTTTAAAAATGTTAAAAATATTTGAAAATGTTAGTGAGAAGGTGTGTCCATGTTGGAACACCCCCTCCTCCCTTAGAGTTACTTCCTCTATGCTGCCACCCCTCCCTCCCATCAAGCTAGGTTCACCCTCCAGTTTGGCAAGCCTTCAAGCCTTCCCAGTACCCTCAGCGAATATCTCTCCAAGCCAAATGAAGGGGAACCTCTGGGAAAACCCCAGATCAGAGTGAGCATTCTGCCCATTGTGGTGCTGAATTAATTGCATATTGTTACGTTGCTGAGGGCAACAGTTGCAGTTTTATGATTTTAAATTTTGTATTATTGCTGAAAAGTGAGCCACGTTGCCAAAGTCTTTGATCAGGACAAACACAAGAATGCCAGATTTCAAACCACTGCAAGAAAATGCACTGCAGGAGAAAAGGATGCTAATTGGCTGATGAGTCAATTCTGATTGGCTGAGGCGTTGCCATGGCCAAAGCAATGGGGAACCATAGGCTCCCCAACCTCCTGAATAATTCAAAAAAGGCACAAAGTTTGAACTCTAGGCCCAAAACGTCAGCCTTCCTGCTCCTCTGATGCTGCTTGTCCTGCTGTGTTCATTCAGCTCTACACCTTGTTATCTCTTGAACATATCACTCCTGTTTTCACAGTATGTGTCTCTACATGTTTTGTTTTCCTCTGGGGAGTGCAAATAAGCCACTTTTTGAGTGTGACTGATTATCTTACGTTAATTGTTGGTGTAGCTGTTAGCACACTTAGGATTATCCAGAAAGTGCTGCCCAATCATGGAATGACACCTAAGAGACATTTTGTTTTTGGGGTTAGCAGGCAAGGGCTTGTTAGGTATGCTCTGTACTCTGCCTGTTATGAACAAGTTAAGGAACATACTGTTTAATTTTTCATTATCGTTTGCTAGGTATGCTGTGGTTATACTACTGATTTTCCTTTCTTTGCTTTGTTGGGTAATAATCCGAAGGCTTCAAAAATTTCAGACTGGGGGAGGCCTGTCCTTGAAATGTGAGAACTGGAACAGTTGGCATGGGCTGATAATAATATTAATGACAATCAAGGAATATTGCACAATATTACACACACATAATTCATAATGTGAGTACAGTTGTAAACTGGAAGACAAGATTAATTGTATATTTCAGGTAGAGCGATTGTAGAGAGTATAGGACAGTGGAAACAAATGTAATAGCTGTAAATTCTGAAATGATTTAATTTCTAATATATGAATTCCTAGTTCCAACTTTTGCTGCTGTATACTTGCAGGCTTGATGTTGCAATGACCCCATTGTAAGGGGGAGGCAGTAATTATAGTGTGATGTGTTTACACAGCAATTTCCATTCTCCATATCGAGACACAAATTTGTAATCCAGGAACTCAATAGGAAGTACATGCAGGTGTAACTTGTTTGTAAATAAATTACTTGTTGATCTTCTATTGTCTTGTGTACAGTAGCTGGAGGAGCGTTGTTTGTTGCTTCCAGATGTCATTGGATTGCTGGTTTTCTCTGTGTCCCACTGGTCATTGTTGCTTTTCTCTCCTGAATTCAACTCGTCTCTTCTGCTATCCTTTTGGCTATATCCTTTAAACTAGGAAGTCCAATGTGATTATATGAAACATGTGGCCCTTATCAATCCCACCCCCACCCATGCCCTCTCACTCTCACTGAATTACTGATTCATCCCTTTAAATCCTCTGTACTTTCTATTCCTCTTACATTCACACCCTACTGCTCTCCCTAAATCCCACTCAAATCATTTGTTCCCTCGCATTGAACACTCCCCATTCCTCCTCCCTTATCAGTGTCCCTCAAAGAGGTTTTGTTTTCTTTCAAAATTGAAGTCTTTTGAAAAAAAAATCACTTTTGAAAGAGGAAAGACACTGGCTCTCTCTTGATCTCCTCCTGTATATGCATCCTGTCAATGACAGAGCATTAAATTCACAGGGTAAGATAACAGCCGCCTGTATATAACACAACTCATTTGGCTTTAAAAAACAAGATTAACAGGAGCTATATGAGTTTACACCGTCAGACAATTGAAGGGTTAGTGCTGACTCGATGGGCTGAATGGCCTCATTCTGCACTGTAGGGATTCTATAATTCTTTGGAGGTCAGGCTTTAAGGTATATTGGAATGTTTCAGATTTAAAGACACTGTAATAAAATATTAAAGGCCAAAGAATTGATAACAAAAGTAAATTAAATGTCACTCACACAGGTATGTAATATTTAAACAGCTTATAACATACATTTGTAAAACTTCCCTTAAACTAAAGGGTTTCGAAGGAAGGGATCACCAATGGCCATTCAAAGTGGTAGTGGATGCTCCCATGAAGAGGAGGTTTCAGTTTAATATCTTATCTGTGTCAGTGCAGTGTCCCTCAGTGGGGCACATTTGAGGGCAACTAGGGACGGGCAATAAAGGCTGACGGAACCAGCGATGCTCATAACACACAAATACACTTTTAAAACCCTGGATTTTGTGTTCTAGGCTGAGGATTGAAATTATGACCAAAAACAGAAGTTGCTGGAAAAGCTCAGCAGGTCTGGCAGCATCTGTGAAGAAAAAAAAATCAGAGTTAACGTTTCGAGGGGTTCTGAGAAAGGGTCACCAGACCTGAAACATTAACTCTGATTTTTTCTTCACAGATGCTGCCAGACCTGCTGAACTTTTCCAGCGACTTCTGTTTTTGTTCCTGATTTATAGGTTTTTATTGAACTTATGACCCACTAACTCAGAGGGACATTATGATCCAGTGAGAGCCAGCTGACCTCTGCCTTAAACCATGTGGGATCTGCTCTGTGAGAGCAAAACTCTGAGACAGGTTTCTTCAATGGACCTGTCCATGATTCCCTGACAAAGTGGTGCTGAGCTGCCTTCTTGAATCACTGCAGTCCATGTGCTATAGGTTGACCCATAATGCCCTTAGGGAGGAAATTCCAGGATTTTGGCCCAGCAACAGTGAAGGAACGGCAATATATTTCCAAGTCAGAATGGTGAGCGGCTTGGAGGGGAACTTGCACGTGGTGGTATTGCCATGTATCTGCTTCCCTTGTCCTTCTAGATGGTCATAGATTTGGAAGGTGCTGTCTGAGGACCCTTGAAGGTCCACTATAAACCCACTTTTCCGATGAAAGGTCTAGGCCCGAAACGTCAGCCTTTCTGCTCCTATGATGCTGCTTGGCCTGCTGTATTCATCCAGCCCTGCACCTTGTTGACTCCCACAGCTCCCTGGACTATACATCCTCGCACCCTGCCTCCTGTAAAGACTCCATCCCATTCTCTCAGTTCCTCCGTCTCCTTGCATATGTTCAGATGAGGCCAACTTCGACAAGGGAGCCTCCGAAATGTCCACCTTCTTCCTCAACTGAGATTCCCCAGCACCATTGTCGACAGGGCCCTCAACCCAGGTCTGACCCATCTCCCGCACTTCCGCCCTCATCGCTTCTCTTCCCTCCCACAACAGCGATAGGATTCCCCTTATCCTTACCTACCATCCTACCAGCATCCATATCCAGAAGATCATCAGATTTCATTTTCGCCACCTCCAGCGAGATGCCACCACCAGACACATATTCCTCTCCCCTGCCTTGTCCACCTTCCGCAGGGACCATTCCCTCCGGTCCACACTTCCATCACCCCCAACACCTCCCCACAGCCCCACGGCACCTTCCCCTGTAACCGGCGAAGATGCAACACCTGCCCATTTGCCTCCTCCCTCCCCAGTATCCAAGGGCCCAAACATACCTTCCAGGTGAAGCAAAACTTCACCTGCACTTCCAAGAATCTAGTCTACTACATCCGCTGCTCACAATGTGGTCTCCTCTACATTGAGGAAACAAAGTGTAGACTGGGTGACCGCTTCGCAGAACATTTACGTTTTGCTCGCAAAAAAGACCCTGGACTACCTGTTGCCTGCCACTTCAATGCACCACACTGCTCCCTGGCCAACATCTCTGTCTCTGGCTTGCTGCAGTGTTCCAGTGAAGCCCAACGCAAGCTGGAGGGACAACACCTCATTTTCCGCTTGGGGACCCTACAGCCCTCCGAACTCAATATTGAGTTCAATAATTTTAGGGCCTAAACTCTCCCATGTCCCAGTCCCCTACCCCACACACCAGGCCTTGTTACCACATAGCCTGCCATTACACACCTCCTGTTGTTAGTCACTAACAGTCCCCATTAACAACTATTCACTGTCCCAGCCTGATCGCAAGCAACTCCTTTGTCTGTCCAACTGTCTTTCTCTCTCTTTGGGCTCTATCCTATCGTTTACTCCCTACCCCACCCATCCCCCTATTTTCTGCATATAAATTGACGTTTTCCCAGCCACCATCAGTTCTGAGGATGGGTCACAGGACCTGAAACATTAACTCTGTTTTTTCCTTTACAGATGCTGCTAGACCTGCTGAGCTTTTCCAGCAACTTTGTTTTTGTATCAAACTTTATACTTCAATCAATGCCTAATACAGATTCCTTGGTCCCATCGCTTTTCTGGGATCTTGCTGTGCACTAATTGCCCGCTGTGTTTCCTACAACAGCAACTATAGTGAAGTTAGTGAAGTTATTCGATGTTTGGTTCTCAATCTGACAATTCCTCTGTTGCTTTCTGAGTCACGCAAAGTATTTTGTGCAAACTAATTATGTTGTCTAAAAGCAAAATACTGTGGATGCTGGTGAAGAGTCATACCACACTCAAAATATTAACAGGGTTTCTCTCTCCGCAGATGTGGCCAGACCTACTGGGTTCCTCAGCACTTTCTGTCCTAATGAAGTTTGTTTGATTACATAGTCATTTCTATAATGTATATTAGCGTTTTTTTTTTGCCACACTACGTTCAAGGAGAAGACTTTAACAATGTCTTCTGGTTCTCAATTGATTTTCTTTCTCCTCTCTTAGCAGACGTCCCAAGATGCAACACCTGAGAGGTAGGTCACATCATATCCAAACTTCAGCAAGCAATGAAAAGCCAGTTTATTCACTCTGCTTCCCAAGCTGGGAGTTAATTTGACAACCAGGAGTAACTTGAGAAAAACTCAGAACAACATAGCTTCTGAGATACAATGATAGAAATGTTTAAAATGAAAAGCCTAAAATGGAGAAATGCTAGGGCAGACATCAAGAACCAGGGTCACTGGTGTACGGTTATGTATGGTGGGTTTCGAACATCAGATCAGGAGAAATTTCACCACAGTGGGTCATGAGCTGTAGAATTCATTTGAGAGATTGTGGTTCAAACGGAAAGAATGTTAATTTAAGTCAAGATTAGATTGATTGACTCGTTGAAGGGTTATGAGAGAGTGGGTAAGTATGTACTCAGACACCTTGTTCACATAGACAGTAAGCAAAATTTGACACCGAGCTACATGAGTCGAGCTTAAGAAGTTGAGCAAAAGTTTAATCAAAGAGCGAGGTAGGTTCTAAAAAGTGTTTTAAGGTAGGAGAGAAGTCAAGGGGCAGAAAGATTTAGGTAACAAGGTTAAAACTGCTGGTTACAGACTGACACAAAACATTTTCTTCACGCACTGAGGCAGACCTGAAGCCATCAGTCCATTTTACGATGAGTTCAAGCACACAATTTCCAACTTAAAAACTCATTTCTGTGGCACCAATTTGAGGGATTGGGGGAGGGGTGAGATAGCCAGCGCAAGGAGGACAAATGACAGGGGAAATAGTTGACAAATGAAGTTGATATGGAGATAAACGTGATGTGGTAAACTCATTCCTTGGAAAGCTGCAATTCTAGGTGGGGCAGAGGAACAAAGGAATCTCAGAGAACAAGTAACATCAATCACTAAACAGTGAGCCAAAGGATGTCAAGGCCATGGAAAAGACAAACACCCATGTGACGAGAGACCAAACTGATAAATGTTTAACTTGGATTAGACCACCATTAGAGGACTGTGCTCACCATATTAGGTAGATGAGATAGAGGCACTCGATCATATCATCTCTTTTTCTGACAAGAAAAGTTTTTTTTCAGGTTACTCCAGGTTGTCAGTTGACTCCTAATAAAGCACAGAAGGCAGAGAAGATTGACAGGCATAATATCAGAAATGTGTGGGTAAACGTGTCAGGAATGGGTTAACTCTCTGGGTCTCTGTCTTGGGAAAAAGGCTGAAGGATTTTCAAGGTCTTTAAAAGGTTTTGGTGCAGTGGACACAAAGAACGTGCTTCCCCCTGTGGGGAAAAGCACAACTAGACTCTGTCACTGTATGATGGTCCACAAGAAATCCAACTGGGAGTTTAGAAGGAACTTCTTTATCCATAGAGAGGTCAGAATGCGGAACTCGCTATCGCAGGGAGTGCTTGAGGGAGAGAGTGTAGAAGCATTTAAGGAGAAGTGAGACCAGTCTATGAGGGAAAATGGAGAGTTATGATGATAGGCTTAGATTATTTAGTAAGATGGAAAGAGAATTAAGTGGAGCACCAACACCAGCATGGGTTAAATGGACTGAGTGGCCTGTTACTATGGTTAATATTCTATTATAAGATCTGACGATGTAACACTGACTGCTAAATCACTATCACCAATAATATAACAGTGGAGATGAGGAGCAATTACTTTTGACGCAGAGTTGTGAATCTGTGGAATCCACTCCTCCAGATTGCAGTGGAGGTAGGGACATTGAGTAAACTTACGAAAGAGATAGACAGATTTTTAATTAGTAATGGATTAACAGGTTGTGGGCAGCGGCCAGGAAAGTGGAGTTGAGGCCAAGATGAGATCAGACGTGATAGTATTAAATGGCAGAGAAGGCTTGAGGGGCTGAATGGCCTACTTCTGCTCCTAGCTCTTATGTACTTATGGTTTGATATTGCTTACCTTTAATGCCACTTTGTTTTATAAGATAAAGTAGCCCTTTCAATAAGGAAGTGTCACTTCTGGAGTACCACGGTTTAGCTACATAGCTCATTTAATAAAGTTCTCTGAATGATGAGTAGGATTTTCTCAGTTCCTTTGCCAGGTTACCCAGGTTCTGAAGATCCCTGCTCCCCAATACTTATTCACACCTGATTACAAAACTTTCTGAATTCATCTAAATTTCATTTCAGTCAATATGCTGGAGGAGCCCAGTCAACAAATCAGTTCTCATTCAGTTATGTGGTTGGATTACATCAACATACCTGTACGCTGTGTCAGCAAAGACACCTATTTTAGACAAACAATGACGCATTTTAGTTGACTGCAGAAATACTGTGTTGTTGAGTTCAGAATAGAGTTTGGAACACCTTACCGTTTATAAAGCAGAATTAAATAAATCTTGATAGTGTAAGGTTACATATAATTCCCAAAGTGTAGGTAGTGTGGAAAACTGAACGTGCAAGCACTAAGGTCTAATGTTTAGAGAAAATCCAGGCATTTAATGCAAATGAAAAAAGAATATTAAAAGGCAATAATTCAGCATGATTGTTTTCATCGAGTTACTTGGAACTTTGGGATAATAACCAATTAGCTGGTTTAATTACAGCTTGAGTTTTCCATCTTCTAAACTGATTGAGCGTTGGGGAGTCTGGTGAATGGTGAGTGACAAAGAAGTATCAGTCAGAGGGAGCTGCCAGTTCAGTAACCGGGCAACAGAAACAAAAGCAATGTTTGTATGAAACATCCAATCATGTTTCGTCCCGATCCTTTCCCTGTTTAATAAAACTGTGCTGTTTCTACAGAAAGTACAAGAGAAGTGTAAAGCATTGAAATTTGTTTTGGCAAAGGTGTTTCAACTTGCTAACCCAACGTAAGTCAGGGCCTGATAGAAATGGCATGGTTTTCATTTCAGTGGTGCCGAGATTCAGTTGGTTTATATAAACTGGTAGTCAGTCCACATCAACAGCTTTACAAATACAGGGAACCTGGAAAGTCAAAATTCCCGGAAATACTCTGCAGGTCTGACAGCTGCTGTGGACAGAACAATGGGGTTGAGTGTTTCAAGCCGATGAATTTTCACCAGAACTGGTAAAGTTAGAAATGAGTAGGTTTTAAACAAATACTGAGGCAGAGAAAGAGGAGGAAGAGTGATGGGGTTCTCTGACAGAGTGGAGAACAGGGGATGTTAAATAACAAAAGTGATTTGGGGTGGAGGATTTGCCCTTTGAGGATTCGAACCCAGGTCACAGCATCCCATTGTGTGGGAACCAGTCACCTGACAGTGATTTTCCTCACATTGGGCAGTTAATGTCCAGAGGATGGGCTCCTGCTGTTCCATTTGAGGAGGGAGCATAGGCTCCTGAGGGTGGAAGACCAATCGAATGGCCACAAGAAACAGCAGTTCAGCCTAGAGAGAGAGATCGAGATAGGACGCCTCCATTTTGAGATGCTGTTTCTATCTCTCTCGCTCTCTCTCTCCTCTTCAACAGCTCAGCTACCTGAGTGGTCAGGGGGTGAACTCATCGATAGAATGGTCTCTGGTCACAGCTATGGCCAGGCAGATGGTGGAGGGCCTTACAACCTGCTTGGAATGTTGGGTAAACCCCTCCCTGCCCTCTGTTTGATGTCAAGAGGCAACTTGCAGGAAGTTGGCCTTGTGCCTAGTGGCTCAGGGGGACTGAACAACAGGGGATGTAGGCGTTGCCCATCCCTAGTTGCCCATGAGAAGGTGGTGGTGGGCTGCCTTCTTGAACCGCTGCAGTCCATGTTCTGTGGGTTGACCTACAATGCTCTGAGGGAGGGAATTCCAGGGTTTTGACCCAGTGACAGTGAAAGAACGGCGATATATTTCCATGTCAGGATGGTGAATGGCTCGGAGGGGAACTTGCAGTTGGTGGTGTTCCAGTTAGCCTCGATAATAAACCTTCTTTGTTATAAAATGTATCCTCATGATTGTGCATTATGTCAAGATGCATCTGCTAGACTTAGTGCCACTGTGTCAGGATCTACAGGGTCTCTTTGAGGACATTTAATGAGAAGATGCTTTTGTTTCCAAAAAAATGTAGTTCACTGCATAATAGCACAAAGTCGCAGCAAGTAATCAGGAATGCTAATGGATTTTTGGCCCTTATTTCAAGGGGTTTGGAGTATAAGAGTAGGGAGAGTTGTGAGTGTCTAAGGTCAGAGGGCATAGTCTCAGAATAAAGGGGTGCCAATTTCAGACTGAGATGAGGAGGAATATATTCGCTCAGAGGGTTGTGAGGCTTTGGAACTCCTTGCCACAGAGACCTGTGGAGACAGAGTCCTTGTGTATATTTAAGACTGAGACAGAGAGTTTCTTGATCAGTCGGGGAACCAAGGGATTCAGGGAAAGGGCAGGAAAGTGGAAGTGAGGAATATCAAGATAACCATGATCTTATTGAATGGTCCAGCAGATTGAGGGGCAGAATGGCCTACTTCTGTTCCTATTTCTTATGATGTTATGACAGCAACTCGGTGCAAGTCATATTAATATGGCAGACATCGTTACAGAGAGCTTGAAGATCCAGATGGTAGTTTCTACTCCATCAACATCCGAAGCTGTTCTCCCACCAAGCCCTTATGATATCATAATTGTGGGTGGTGCTTAAGGCACTCTTCTGCTTTAACCCTTTCAGCTCCTTGCCCCACATTGATAAGCTAAACTGGCTATATGTGACTTGTGGGTGGATAGTTCCCCAAACCCTCAACCCACTGTAAGGACAATGGCCTGAGATTAGGGTGATACTGGCAATCCAGCATTGTAAACCCTTCCCCTTCTCCCACTCCCATTCTCTGCCTACCCCAATATGGGGATAGAAAGTCTGGTCTAGACATGAGGCACCAGTAGGGACAAGATGGAAGCGGTTCATTTATATGAAACGTTAACTGTGTTTCTCTCTCCAAAGAGACTGCAAGACCCTATTGAGTATTTTCAACACTTCATTTTCAGTTCAGATTTTCTGTGCCCACTGTCTTTCATCTTTGAACAAAAGAAGCCAATTCTGCTCCTGGCAGTAAGTTCCAAACCTGCCCCCTTCCAAGTGAAATTAGTTGGAATGTTGAACCAGAATTATCAGTGTTTATGAGCAACAACATCTCACATCTGTATACTGCCTATTACCTTAAAAATATCTGAAGACAATTTTGCAGGAGTGTGACCAACTTAGCATGCATGGTAAACTAAAGGGAGGGAGCATGGGGGGTAAGGTGATTAACAGCCTGGCAGAAGAAATGTGCTTTTGGGAGCAGCTTAAATATGGACAGGAGGATTGGGAGATTTTGGGAATGCATTTGACACGATGATTAATGTTGACTCCAGCCAATGATGGTAGAGCAAAGGGAGAAGGTGTGTGGGTACACAGGAGGTGTGTGGGTACACAGGAGGGCAGAATCAGATGAAGAAATGGTTCAAAGATAGGGCTGGAGGTAATTAGAGAGATTAACAAAGAAAAAAGAAACCATGAGAATTCAAATGAAGATGAGAATTCAAGTTGGAGGTGCTAGTGAATTGGAAGCCAGTGTAAGTCAGCAAGCACAGGGCAGGTGGGGTTTGGGGGAGGGAATGGGGAACAAGATTTTGGCCAAGAGATGCAGAAATGTTGGAAAGAACGTTTGTACTCAGCAAGTGGTAATGACCTGGATTCTGCGGCCCGTGAAGATGGTAGATGGAGACAATCGATGATTTCAAGAGGGAATTGGATGGACACTTGAAAGAAAGAAACTTGCAGGGCTGTGTGGCCTGAGCAGGGAGAGTGGGTGCAACTGTATTGCATGCAATGAGCCAGCATGCATTCAATGGGCTGAATGAGCCTCCTTCTGTTTCACAAATAACTCTATGACTTCATGGGTGGGCGAAAAGTGGAGCAGCAGATTTTCACCTTGAATTTTCACCATGTGTATGTTGTGTGTTGATTATGAGTGTATGTTGTATTTGTGTTGTGAGTGTTGTGTGTGGGTTGTGAGTGAGTGTTTGTGTGTGTGTGTTGTACATATGTGTGTGTTGACTGTGTGTTGTGTGTACGTGTTATGGACCAGACCAAACCCCCTTCAAATATATCAAGGTAATAACCTAGACCCTAACTTTTATTGAAAGGCAAGTGTAAGGTGCTGTGTTCTAGATGTAATTTGATTGGATACACTACTCGGCTTTAAGAAGAACACACTTTATTCTCACACTACAGATACAATTTAAACAAAAGAAAGAAGCGTTGGTATAACTTTACCTCTAATAGAAAACTTAACAGAATATTAGATTATTTAACTACTAAACAGTAACTGTTCCAATATAGTAACATCCCATAAACACACCTTTTGGCAAAGGCAAAGTCAGTAAAACAGAGCATCTCACATGCAATTCTTGCAGAAAGAGAGAGAACCCAAGCTTTTAACTGTAACAGAGAGAGAGATGGAGAGAGAGAGAGAGAGAGACAGCTTCCACAGCCAACTTCCAAACCCCAACAACAGTTGCAAACTAAACTGAAACCCTGGTTCTGTGGGAGATGACTCCACCCATTCAGGCTGCTTCTATTCTAATCTTTTAAAAAAAACACCCCAAGACCTCACAAGCTGTTCACTTTATTGGCTTAGAAGTGAGCACTCATCACCTCTGTCTCAATCTCTCTGCATAAGAGAAAACCAGGACACAATATACCTCTTTAAGCCATAGTATTGTCACAGTATGTATGTTGGTTGCATGTTGCGTGTATGTATCTGTGTGTTGGTTGTGTGTTTTGTGTGTGTGAGAGAGTGTGTGGTCTCAATCGCAAGTTCAGAGATTGATTAATTTCCTAACAAAACAACGTGTGTTCATTGAGCATTACTCTTGCCATGATCAGACCCTATTGGTACGTCAGTTTTGAAATAATTGCCTGTGAAAAAATCCACTCGGTTTTGCTTGTTCTTCTCACTGTTACAGGTGCACATCTCATCGTCGGCGCAGCTCGTTGGTTGTCTGTTTACCGGGACTCGAAATATTTCCTGGCGATTTATTAATTTACCGTACTGTGTCTACCCCCTCGCTCAGTACAGGTAAGCTCATAGAGCCACATGGACGGAATCTTCAACCTTCTTTGGTGACAGTTTGTATTTCTAATTGGCTGAATGTTCTGTTGCCTGAACGTTGGGTAATCTGAAGGAATGTGACCTGTCGGAAAAATTCTAAAGCCATCCAAATCTCTCTTTCAGAATCCAAGAAGTCGAAATGGCCCTTTGCAAAACGGGGAACGGTAATGCTGTCTAATATTTTTTCCATGTATTTGAAATTCCACCACTCTCTCATGTATTGTAGTTGGAGGAGAGGAAAGATTAAATAAATAATGCTGAGCAATTTGTTTCGGACACTTCCCCAAGAAAGCAATGAGTTGTACCTCAATTGCCAGGTACATGAGATTGGGGCGGTTATGTTTCAGTGATTTACTCAAACCCTGATAAATTCCACAGGTACTAACTTGTTTAAGATAACTTGAAGCTTGACGCTAATGTGCTACACCTCTGGTGATATTAGTTGTCTATTCACTATCAGCAGCAACACTGACTAAGATTTCCTTCCAACAGTAAACACTGCTATGTATAATGTTCGCATTATATCTCAATAACTAATAGGCCCTTTAGAAACAACACTGTGAGCAGAATTAAACTCCTACTCTCCAGCAGGAGTTTTGAGGGCAGGGTTGGGGGGGGGTGCATATAAAATGCATTAGGAGGCTTTCCTGTTACCTCCCTGACCTGTCTCCCATTTTACATGAGCAATGAGAGGGTCACACCACCCACCTTTGCCTCTGTTGAGGCCCCTAAATAGTCAATTAATGCCCAGTAATCTACTGCCTACTAATCTACAACCCATTAAATTAATACCCACGAAATAAATGCCCACTAAAATGTCTCATCCAGCCTCACCACTATTTTACCCCTGGCTGAGAGAGGATGGTAAAGGACTATATCATAGCCTCCTTGCTTTAGTACACTATGTCTTTATATATAAAGTGCCGAGTGCACTTGACATTCAATGGTGTTACCATCACTGAATTCCCCACTATCAACATCCTGGGAGTTACCATTGACCAGAAACTCAACTGGACTCACCACATAAATACAATAGTTACAACAGCAGGTCAGAGACTAGGAATACTGCAGCAAGTAAATCAGCCCCTGACTCCCCCAAAGCCTGTCCACCATCTACAAGACACAAGGCAGGAATGTGCTGGAATACTCCCCACTTGCCCTGGATCAGTGCAGCTCCAACAACGCTCAAGGAAGCTTGACACCATCCAGGAGCCCACTTGATTGGCACCACATCCACAAACATCTACTCCCTCCATCACCAACGCTCAGTAGCAGCAGTGTGTACCATCTACAAGATGCACTGCAGAAATTCACCAAAGATACTCAGGCAGCACCTTCCAAACACGCAACCACTTCCATCTAGAAGGACAAGGGCAGCAGATACATGGGAACACCACCCCCTGCAAATTCTCCTCCAAGCCACTCACCATCCTGACTTGGAAATATATCATCGTTCCTTCACTGTCGCTGGGTCAAAATCCTGAAATTCCCTCCCTAACAGCATTGTGGGTATCCCAACACTGATGGACTGCAGCAGTTCAAGAAGGAAGCTCACCACCACCTTCTCAAGGGCAGCTAGGGATGGACAATAAATACTGGCTCAGCCACCAATGCCCACATCCCGTGAGTGAATGATAAAAGACTCCAAATGCTTTCTGAACCTGCCCTGCCACTTCCATGCTTTGTACTGATATGATCCCTGGTCTCTCTCTGCACCTACACCCCTTTTAGAATTGTATCCTTTGTTACTTTGGGGAAAGAAAACTGTTGTCCTTAATTTCTCTGGCCAATAAGGTTATTTTTATTCTTTCATGGAATTGGGTATCACTGGCAAGGTCAGTATTTGCTGCTCATCCCTAATCCCATCGGACTGAGTGTTTGTAAGGTCCATATCAGAGGGCAGTTAAGGGTCCACCATGTTGCTGTGGGTCTGGAGTCACATGTAGGCCAGACCAGGTAAGGGACAGCAGTGAACCAAATGGGTTGCATGGTCACCTTTTACTGAGGTTGGTTTTGTTTAAAAGTTCCAGATTTGTTCATTGAATTTAGATTCCACCAGCTGTTGTGGTGGAATTTTAAACCAGTGTCTCTGAGATTTTAGTTGGCTCTCGGGATTATGAGCCCAGTCACATGACCACTATGTTACCACATCTGCCACCAGGCCATTATGCATGACTCTTGCCTGTCTTTAGAACTAGCTGAGAAAGACTGAGTTGTTAACAAAACCATTACAAAGAATTTCCGTTCAAGAGCCAGCTCCTTCCCGAAGCATAGTGTCAGTGAGCAATAAAGTGAGGCCTCACTACAGATGCCGACATATCACGATTTAGAAAATTAGTTTTTTTAGGCTTGATGACTAATCCAACATTTGGGACACCTTTTGCTGCAATTTCCCAATCGTTTCTTTCACTAGGCAGTAAATTACGCATCATGTATATGGAATTTTAATCAAGGATAGGGCTCTGGGGAAAGCTTCCCATCGGTCCCACTCATAAGTACCCAAGATGTCAGAGATCTCCAAGAGTAGTCAGGGATCTCCTAGAGTAGTCAGGGATCTCCAAGAGAGGTCAGGTAGCTCGAACTCACCAAAAAATGAGCCTTTACATGAATCCCCCTCCCCTTGCCTGCCATCCGAGCTGTGTGCTGGAAGTGCACGTATTTTATCCCACTAATCTGACACAATTGTTTTACCTTTCGTTTCTAGAGCAAAGTGAAACAAAAGCAAATATCGCATTTGGAAAACCTTCTGGCCTCACTGGTGATCAGGGACTGCACAGATCAGCTTTTCCAACAGTACAAGGTATTTCCTTCTCATTGGTCATCATTGCTGACCAATTGTCTTTGCACACTCTATCTCGTCAAGTGAAGCCACTGACCACTCTCTGACCTTGACCTCCGGAGGAGCTCTGCTGATGTCAGTTGCTTCTAGAGCTAGAGCCAATGTATTTATTACTTCACATAAATCAATAGGAATTCCCCTCTCACCTACTGTAAGGAACAGGAGGAGACCATTCAACCCTTCAGATCTGTGCTGCCATTCACCTGGACAACAGCTCGCCTTATTCACTATATAGAACAGTACAGCACAGAAATGGGCCCTTAGGCCCATGATGTTGTGCTGAACATGACGCCAAATTAAACTAATCCTTTCTGCCACCCCTTGGTCCACATCCCTCCATTCTTTGCATATTCATGTGCTTATCTAAAAGCCCCTTAAATGCCCCTACTGTATCTGCCTCTACCACCACCCCTGGCAGCACGTTTCAGACTCACTCTCTGTGTAAAAAGAAACTTGCCCCTCATGTCTCCTTTGAACTTTCCCCCGCCCTCACCTGAAATACATGCCCCCCTAATATTAGACATTTCAACTCTAGGGAAAAGATTTTGACTTCAACCCTATCTATGCATCTCATAATTTTATAAACTTCTATCAAGTCTCCCCTCAGCCTGCGCCGCTCCAGAGAAAACAACCTGAGTTTTTCTAGCCTCTCCTTATAGCTCATATCCTCTAATCCAGGCAGCATCCTGGTAAACCTCTTCTGCACCCTCTCCAAAGTCTCCACATCCTTCCTATAATGTGACGACTAGAATTGAACGCAATACTCTAAGTGTGGACGAACCAAAGTCTTATAAAGCTGCACCATGACATCCTGACTCTTGTACTCAGTTCCCCGACAAATAAAGGCAAGCATGCCATACACCTTCTTTACCACCCTATCTACTTGTGTGGCCACTTTCAGGGAGCAATGGACTTGAATCCCAAGATCATTTTGTACATCAATGCTGTTCAGAGTCCTACCATTAACTGTATACTTTTCCTTGACATTTGGTCTCCCAAAGTGCAGCACCTCACACTTACCCAGATTAAACGCCATCTGCCATTTCTCCGCCCATATCTGCAACTGAGCTATATCCGCTGTATCCTTTGACAACTTTTTACACTGTCCACAACTCCATTGATCTTTGTATCATCTGCAAACTTTCTAACCCACCCATCTACATTTTCATCCAAGTCATTTATATATATCACAAACAGCAGAGGTCCCAGTACGGATTCCTGTGGAACATCACTAGTCATGGACCTCCAGCCTGAAAAACACCCTTCCACCACTACCCTCTGTCTTCTATGGGCAAACCAATTCTGAATCCACGTGGCCAGGTCACTGTGGATCCCATGCATCTTAATCTTCTGGATGAGCCTACCATGAGGGACCTTGTTGAAAGCCTTACTAAAATCCATGTAAACAACATCCACTGTTCTACCCTCATCAATCATCTTCATTACCTCCTTGAATACATTTCATGTGTATTTCCGTGCCATTGCCTAGGCTTAGAAGAGGCTGATGAAATGTGTGTTTGTGTAACTCAAATTTTCCCTGAGACAGGCACTAGCTTATCACCAAAGGCTACATAGACTGAGGCCCTGACACTCCATATAGTTACCCTGCTCTCAGGTTCTAATGTCACACAATGAATGCATCCTCATGGCCATCGAGCCCTGGACTGGGACTTGAAACCAGCGTTCCCTGCTCGGAAACAGGAATAGTTACTCCCTGCACCAAAAGTCCCTCCTTCAGACCAAACACATATCGATCTCAGCCTCAAAAACTCCCCTTGACCCCTATTGCCCATAGCCTCTGCTAGGAGATAGGTCCAAATTTTCATTTATCTTTGTTTCTTGATTTTAGCTTCTAAAGTGAGTTTAATTTAAGCTTATTCTACCTGCTTCTGGACTCTCCTACTACAGGAATTGGTTTCCCTGGATCTACAATACTGAATTCTTCTATTATTTTAAACACCTTGAGCAGGTCATTCATAAACTCTGAGAAACACTTGATATTCTAATTTATCCTTTGCAGTTTGTTTGTAATATGTTTATCTGACTGTAATGTTATCTTTTTAACCTTATTTCTTATCTTTTCTAATTTATACCATGAATCACTGTAAAGTAATGTAACTTTTTTTCTTTATTTCTCTATTTTGTATCTAAGCTTGTACTTTGTAAGTAAAATGGTGCCATGAGGGGCAACGTTGTACACTTTTCACTTTATTCCTATACTTACGTACTCGAGTACACATGACAATAAACCTAATGCTATTTCTAGTGTCAGTACCATTCTAACAATTTTACACTTGTACCTGACCCATCCACACCCTGTCCAGGCCCGGGATTCTTTCAGGACTGGTGCCCAGGACAGGACGTTGTATCCAAATGAGCTGTCTCAAAGTTAAAGAGCTGAAATGTCCCTCATAACTGGACCCTCTGAATTGGGAACCTGTCAGTGTTCTTCTGGCTGCACAGATCAGCTGTCTCCCTTGTGCCTGTGTGTGGGATAGAAATTAGGGAATCACGGAACGGTCGCAGATAGATGGAGGCCAATCAGCCCCACATTGTCTTTGCCCGCTCTCTTCAAGAGAAGCTCTCCCACTGTCACTTTACTCCCCACAGATCTCTTCAGCTAACTCCCTTTCACAAACCCTGATTGAACCAGCCTTTACCACACTCTGAGGCAGGGTATTCCAAGTGCTCACCACCCACTCCCTGAAAAATATTTTCCACACGTTGCCTCTGGTCCTTCTGCCAAGAACATTAAATTAGGGTCATCTCCCATGGTACCAATGGGCAAGCTTTCTCTCTATCCATTCTGTCCAGAGTCCTCATCGTTTTGCAATAATATGAACAAGGAACAAGATTAGGCCACTCGGCCCTTTGAGGCTGCTCCCCCATTCAATAAGATCATAGTTGATCTGATTTTAACCTCAACCCTACATTCCTGCATATCCCTGATAATCTTTGATCTCCTCGCTAATCAAGAATCTATCACCTCCTTCATTAAAAATATGTGAAGATTCTGCACCCACTGCATTTTGATTTGGGAATTCCAAAGCCACTCTGAGAGGAAAGAAATGTTTCCTTGTCTCTGTTCTAAATGGACAACCCTTTATTTTAAAACTACGACTTCTAGTTCTAGTTTCTCCCAAATGAGGAAACATCTTTTTGATATCCATGCAGTCAGGTCACATCAGGATCTTTCAGTTAAGTCGACTCTGACACTTCTAAACTCCAGAGGATACAGGCCCAGCCTGTCAGGCCTTTCCTCATGAGGCAAGCCAGGTATTAGGAAGTTCCAGGTATTAGGCTGGTAAACCTTCTCTGAACTGCTTCAACCATCCAGTAAAATCCTTCTGTTAGGTATGGTGACCTGTAATGTACGCATGACTCCGGATGTGTTCTCACCAATACCCTGTATAAGTGAAAAATACCTCTCCACTCCTGCATTCAGTTCTTCTCACAATAAAACATATCGTTCTATTAGTTTTCTTGATTACTTGCTTTACCTGTGTATTAATAGTTATGGGCAACGGTAGAGGAGTTAGATGTTTTATATCAGTCGTGATGGTAGAATCCCTACTGTGTGTTAAAAGGCCATTTGGCCCATCAATTCTGTACTGGCCCTCTGAAGACCATCCCACAGAGACCTCGTAATTCCACATTTCCAATGGCCAATCCACCTATCCTGCACATCTTTGGACTGTGAGAGGAAACCCATGCAGATACAGGGAGAACATGCAAACTCCACACAGACAGTCACGTGAGGCTGATATCGAACCCAGGTCCCTGGTGCTGTGAGGCAGCAATGCTAACCACTGAGCCACCACACCCACATGCTTCAAGTATTCAGTTAATATGGAAGAATAAGGGGGATGAATTAAGTATCATTAGACAAACTAATGGGGCCAAAGGCAGAGAAGTCCCTTGGCCCCAGTGGCTTGGATCCTAGGATCCTAAAAGAGACAGCTGCAGTGATAGTAGATGCATTGGCTGTAATTTTCCAAAAACATTCGGATTCTGGAGAAATACCAGAGGATTGGAAAACTGTCAGTGTGACACCTGATTCAAAAAGGAAGAGAGGCAAAGAGCAAGTAACTGTAGGCTGATCAGTCTAACGTCTATTGTTGGAATCAATTGTTAAGATGTAATAGCACAGAAATATGTAATAGATTTAGTAGATGGAATATCATAATCTAATCAAGCAGAGTCAGCCGAGCTTCATGAAGGGGAAATCACGTTTAACTAATTTATTTGGGTTTTCGAGGAAGTCTCAACCAGAGTTGATAGACGGGACCAGTAGATATATAGTATTTGGCCTTCCAAAAGGAGTTTGCTAAGATACCTCACAAAAGATTAAGTCATGAGATAAAAACCCATGGTGTTGGAGGTAGTATATTGGCAAGGAAACAGAGAGTGGGGATAAGGTGTTCTTTTTCAGGTTGGTGACCTGTAACCAGTGGGGTTCCACAGGGATCAGTGCTGGCACTGTAGGGATTGCAATGAGATCTGCAAGGTGGATCTCATAGAATATGGAGGCTGTTAGTCTGGTCCAAATAGGGAGCCCTGGCTGACAGATACAAACAGGAGCTGGCTCTGATGGAGCTGGATCAGTGTCTAGGGCTCTCCATGTGTAAACAAAGGGTGACTTGGTGATGGATTACCAGCCTCTGCGGAGTTAATTCAGTGGCAACCCAAAGATGGCATATCAATTTGGGGAGCAAGAGTAATTGTCCCTAGCAAAGGTCACTGCCAGACACTGGCTGAGCTCCACCAGGGTCATCCAGAGGTTTCCAAAGTGAAGATGTTGGCTTGAAGTTGAGTCTGGTGGCCAGGACTGGATGCAGATATAGCTGCCTTGGTGAGGGAGTGCCCAGAGAACCAGCAAGAATAGAAGTTATTGCCAGCCGCTCCCACACGTTCGTGGGAATGGCCGGGTGGACCCTGGACTCAGTTACACGTTGACTATGTAGGTCCTTTCATGGGCTCAATGTTCTTAGTCATTGTGGACCCCCACTCAAAATGGATGTACATGCGTAGAGTTCATTTGTCAAACATGGGGACAATGATAGAAAAGCTGTGAGCATCTTTTGCAATGCATGGCCTCCTGGAAGTGTTGGTCACAAACAACGGGCCATCATTTACCATCAGGGAATTTAAGTATTTCCTAAAGTCGAAATGTATTTGTCATATAAGGACAGCTCCATCATGCAATGGTCTGGTGGAAAGAGCAGTCCAAACTTTGAAGGCAGGCTTAAAGAAACAGCCTACAGCTTCACTCGATACCAAACTGTCCTGGTTCCTATTTGATTGTCAGACCACTCCTCATGCAACTACGGGAATAGTTCCAGTAGAGATGCTAATGGGGAGATGAGCCCACACCAGGTTGAATCTGATCTTCCCAGACCTGGGGAAGGAGGGCAAAATGGCATCAGGAACAGCAATGCTGGACGCAAGGCTCCGCTAAACAAGAGAGACTTTAACTCGGGGATGATGTTTGGTGTAAGAACCACAGCAGTGGCCCTGCATGGGCGACAGACATGGTCAGGCCCAGTGACGGATAAAGTTCAGGTTGGGTGTGATGGTCCTGAACGAGCAAACTTGAATGAGGAAAGTTGCAAACTTGCAAACAGTGCAGGAGAAAATGTGCCCAGTTCCTCAACTGCCTTTATGTCTTGTGGGTTCTCCCTCTTCGTCAAGCGTTGAAGATAACTCGGAATATGAGATGGACGCAGCGAATGTTGTCACTTCAATGCCTTTGCCACCTGAAGAGGAGAATGAATTTCTTCCGAAATGCTCCTGGCGCAAGAGGTGAGCTACTGTGCATTACACACTGCCCGTATCTGAGGCATGTTGCAGAAACCTGACCCAGTGCTAAAACGCCTCGGGAGAAGCTACACAATGAAGAACCGAACTATGTCCTCAGGCCCAGAGAGGGAGGGATATAGTGATTGTAAGCAAGTGGACCTCATAGTATATGAGTTCCCTGACTGGGGTTGTTAATCTCTTCCAATCAGGGAGCCCTGGCTGACAGATACAAATAGGAGTGTCAGGGATTCTGTTCATTCTGAGAGCTGGCTCTGAGGGAGCTGGAGCAGTGCCAAGAACTCTCCACGTGGAATTAAAGGGGGACTTGGTGACAGGATACCGGCCTCTGTGGAGTTATTTCAGGGACCACAACTGTTTACAAGATATATTAATGATTTGGAGGAAGGAAGTGTAGCCAAATTTGCAGACAACATAAAAAAACAGGTGGAAGGGCAAATTGCGAGAAGTTGAATAAACGGGCAATGAGTTGGCAAATGGAGTGTAATGTGGGAAAATATGAAGTTGTTCATTTTGGAAGGGAGAACAAAGAACAGAATATTATTTAAATGGAGAAAAACTGCAGAAAGCTGAAACACAAAAGGACTTAAGGGACCTGTGCACAATATACAGAAAGCCAGCACATGGGGAAAGCAGGTAATCAGGAAGGCTAATGGAATGTTGGCCCTTATTTCGAGGGGATTGGAGTATAAGAGTAGGGAAGTCTTACTGTACGAGGAGCTGGGGAGACCACATCTGCGACACTCTGAGCAGTTTCCGTCCCCTTATTTAAGGAAAGATATCATTTCATTGGGGCAGTTCGGAGAAGGTTCACTAAGATGATACAAAAACAGAAATTGCTGGAAAAGCTCAGCAGGTCTGGCAGCATCTGTGGAGAGAAATCAGAGTTAACGTTTTGGGTTGAGTGACTTTTCCTCAGAACTTTTTACAGCATCCACAGTTCTTTCAGTTTTTATTCACTAAGATGATCGCTGATATGGAGGGATTATCTTATGAGCAAAGACTAAACAGATTGGAACTCTACTTACTGGAGGTTAGAAGAATGAGAGGCGATCTCATTGAAACATATGGGTTTCTTTAGGGGCTTGACAGGGTCAATGCTGAGAAGATGTTTCCTCTCATGGAAGAGTCTAGAACCAGAGGGCACAGTTTCAGAATAAAGAGGCACCCATTTGAGACTTAGATGAGGAGGAATTTCTTCTCTCAGAGGGTCAAGTGTCTTTGGAACTTCTTGCCACAGAGAGCTGTGGGGGCAGAGTCCTTGTGTATATTTAAGGCTGAGACAGATAGATTCTTGATCAGTCAGGGGATACAGGGAAAGGGCAGGAAAGTGGGCGTGAGGAATGTTGGATCAGCCACGAGCCTATTGAATGGTGGAACAGGCATGAGGGGCTGAATGGCCTACTCCCATTCCAATTTCTTATGGTCTTATTAACCTTCTCTTATCTATGCACTTGGCCACCACATATTTCTCTGTATCTCAGAACTCAATCATCGATGCTTCAATAATCCTGTTAAATTCATGTTATCCCAGCATGCACCACGATCAGGTGGTGCCGATAAATCTACTGCCGATGGTGGGAATATCGGGAATCGAACCGAACATGGCTTGAAATACACTGCAACTTGCAGAGACTCGGAGCCTCTCCACCTTTGAGGCTTTTGATTGTAAATATTGAGGGGAAAATACGTGTGCAGTCATTTCACACTGACACCACACCCACCTTCCTTAGTCTTCTCCAGTAACTGTGACAGAGAGCCTTGGAGGGAAAGGGGGGGATATTGGAGATGCTGGTTGGTGGGGTGCACAATGACGTGAATTTCATTGTCCTTATTGCAGGATAAAAGCTGGACATATGTAACAAAGATCCAGAAGTTGAATCCCGATACCAGGCCAGAGCAGAAGGATAAGAAGCTGCAGGAAGCTATGTGGGAGATCTTCAGCAGTGAATGCAACTATTTCAGTGACAAGTTATTGGTGATGGAGCAGGTGGGAATACCAATCTTACCTATTGCTTCAATCTGCACCATTCCCAGTGTTAGTGGGAACAGCCCAATGTACAGTGAACAGATCAATGTGTAGCTGGATAGCAGGAATATTGTGTGCAGCTGGCAATGAAAGGAGAGGATCGAGGGCATTAAACATTCACAGAGTCTTGATACCAAAATGTGAAGTCATTCCCTTGTCCTAACGCTTAACGGTTCAAAGAATTCCCCTGGGCATCTTGCCTCTTTTAAACTGATTCTACTTCCCCCACTTTCCCTTTGCAGTTTATTAATGCATCTCCCCCAGATTCCCATTATCCCTCCCACAGTTTCCCATTACCCCTTTTCCAGTTTACTATTATCCTTCCCCCAGATTACCGTTACCCCTCCCCCAGTTTCCCATTGCTCCTCCCCCAGTTTCCCATTACCCCTCCCCCAGATTCCCATTACCCCTCCCCCAGATTCCCATTGTCCCTCCCCCAGTTTCCCATTACCCCTCCCCCAGATTACCCTTACCCCTCCCCCAGTTTCCCATTCCCCCTCCCCCAGTTTACTATTATCCCTCTCCCAGATTCCCATTACTCCTCCTCCAGTTTCCCATTGCCCCTCCCCAGTTTCCCATTACCCCTCGTCCAGTTTCCCATTACTCCTCCCCGGGTTTCCCATTATCCCTCCCCCAGTTTCCCATTACTCTTCCCCCAGTTTCCCATTATCCCTCCCCCAGTTTCCCATTACTCCTCC